GTATCGGTTCTTATGCGACAGGGACTTTGGGGTGGGGATATGGTGGAAGAATCTGCCTAGAATAACGAGGGAGATTCCAGACAGTAGACATACAAACACAATCGAACTGAGAGGACGATCTGCTCGGCAATGGGGTTCTTGGTTAGCTGGCCGCCTGGCAGTCTTCTTCCCCTGTGCCTCCGGTTCTGCTACTCACCAAAAACAAATGTGGTATCGTAGGTGGTCGTAAGAAACGTACAGCTTAGAAAGAAGACTCTATAAAAGGGATCCAATCAGCCAATTTCCCAGACAAGCCTTCCATAGCAGAAAAGTCTCTCATCGCAAATTGCAACAACAGGGAGGCAGTATTACCCCACAGAGGCCTTGAGCCCCGTGTCCGCGGTTAAAGATACCATCTGAAACGACTGTTATGGCACGGTTAATTGAACCAGAAACATAAACCTTCCCACTGCGTTGTCGTAGTCCATTTGGTTCACCACATGCCGTGCCGTGCTCTTCACTGGTAAGAATGGTCGATATGGTATCTCCGCGTGCGCAATAACCCAACGGATGGACCGGAAGACGAGTCACAAAACGGTCCAAGAGCGAAAGGAAGTGAGGAGACAGAAGCCAGTCAAGTGAACGAAACTAATGGACGCGACTGAAACGACAGAATCACCAAAGGCGTCACTGCGCTGCTTGAAAGAGTTCTCCGGGAAATTTGTCTCGCCTATCTGAGGTGGAGACGTCAGGGGGACGGAGTGGTGACGCCGGGGACTGAAAAAAACAGTGGTCAAAATTTAGCTTCAGCTGAATGTTTATTAGCACTGTCCTAGTAATAAAAGACAAGATAGAACAACAGATTTAATCCATACCGGAGGTTAGTACTCTTGTAGTGGGCGGGGAGCACGCAATACACAACGGCAGCAGCGCGAGTGATTGGCAGCTCTGTAGGTCTTTTTCGAGTAAATGATAAACACAATGCCTGGCTGCATGGAATAGCGGCGATCAATATTTGCTGTTCCCTGTTTCAACCGATGCGTCAGAAACAGGGATCTAACCAATGAAATCGACAGACGCAATTGAGCTAGAAACTTGACAGTGCTTCATAGTCCGGAGCCGATGTCGAGAAGCAGCAGTATTCCGGGTTCGTTGATGGTTAGGTGGTGAGAGACACGGCTAACTCTCATGGATGCTCAGCCCGATCGCAGCGCATACCTGGCACATGCACATAAACAGCCATTTTTTCTCTGTCTCTGCTCTTTGTATAGACAGGCTGTTTCAAGCGAGGAGAGAAGATGTAAAGAGTTTTCCCGAAATGGTAAGGTACCGGAATCTTGAACTACTAGCTCAATACGGTTAGCTTTCCCTTTTATGGAATAGACTAGACTCAAAGTGGGCTTGAAGCACGTGCCATCTTTTTGCCATAGGCGGTGACTATATTGGCAGGCGGTAGAGATTGACAGATTGATCGCGCCGTTTTTTTTTTTTTTTTATGTCGGTTGAGAGAGCTCAGCACTTTGATTTTGGACCAGTCGCCGGTCTTTTGAGCTGAATATCTTTTGTCTTGTTTATTTAATTGCTGCAATCTAGACCCTCATTCGTTGCCAGTGGTCTGTATCACTGGAAGGATTGTTCCCGGAGAAAGACCCGGACGAAGAACTTTTTGCAAGCTCGACGATAGACATCTCGTAGCCAGTCAGGCTTACGAGGGTCAGAGATACCCCGGAAATTATGCCTCGCAAGGCGATCGATTCGCGCATCCCCGCGCTCATTCGGAATGGCGTGCAGGAAAAGAAACGGAGCTTTTTTGTTGTGGTTGGTGACCGCGCAAAGGATGTGATCGTGCATCTGCACTATATCATGTCCAGCGTGGACGTCAAGCAGAACAAGTCGGTGCTGTGGGCATACAAGAAGGACCTTTTGGGATTCACCAGTCATCGGAAGAAGCGTGAGGCGAAGATTAAGAAGGAGGTTAAGAGCGGCATCAGAGAACCTAACCAGGAAGATCCTTTCGAGCTGTTCATCACCCTCAACCAGATCCGATATGTTTACTACAAGGAGACCGAGAAGATTCTGGGAAATACGTACGGAATGTGTATCCTGCAAGATTTCGAAGCCATGACACCCAACCTGCTTGCACGCACTGTCGAGACCGTCGAGGGAGGAGGTATTGTCTTGCTGCTCTTGAAGAGCATGAACAGCTTGAAGCAACTCTACACATTATCGATGGATATCCACTCGCGATACAGGACGGAGGCACACGACGACGTGGTAGCGCGGTTCAACGAGAGATTCATCCTCTCCCTAGGTAGCTGCGATTCGTGCTTGGTTGTCGACGATGAGTTGAATGTCCTGCCTATCTCCGGAGGAAAGACCGTGAAACCACTCCCCCCCGCGGAGTCGACTGACCCAACCAAATCGGGCACACAAAAGGAATTGAAAACTATCAAGGAGAGCTTGGCAGAGTCGCAGCCCGTCGGTTCATTGATCGGTTTGTCTCGGACCGTTGACCAGGCCAAGGCGCTCCTCACATTCGTCGATGCGATTGCGGAGAAGACGCTTCGGAACACTGTTACACTGACTGCTGCCAGAGGTCGAGGAAAGTCAGCTGCGCTTGGTGTTGCGATTGCGGCTGCAGTTGCTCACGGTTACAGCAACATTTTCATCACCTCGCCCAGCCCCGAAAACTTGAAGACCCTGTTCGAATTTGTCTTCAAGGGATTTGATGCTATGGGTTACCTCGACCATGTCGACTACACTATCCTCCAATCCACCAACCCCGACTTCAACAAGGCCATTGTCAGAGTCAACATCCACCGTCAGCACCGCCAGACAATCCAGTACATCCAGCCTCAGGATGCGCATGTCTTAGGCCAGGCCGAACTCCTGGTTATCGATGAAGCCGCCGCCATTCCTCTTCCTCTAGTCCGGAAGCTGATGGGTCCCTACCTGGTTTTCATGGCTTCGACCATCAACGGTTACGAAGGAACCGGCCGGTCCCTCTCCTTGAAGCTGATCCAGCAGCTCCGTGAACAGTCAAGAGGAGGTCTGAAGGCAAACGGAGAGGAAGACATCGACGTCGCCGATCGATCCACGGGGAAAACAGCCAAGGGAGCAGAGAAGAGTCTTGGTGGACGGTCCTTGAGAGAGATCACTTTGTCGGAGCCCATCCGTTACGCCCCCGGCGACTCTGTCGAGAAGTGGTTGAACAAAGTCCTTTGCCTTGATGCAACCCTGCCTAAGTCCAAGATGAACACTCAAGGATGCCCTCACCCATCGAAATGTCAACTGCTTCAGGTCAACCGAGACACCCTCTTCTCTTTCCACCCTGTCTCTGAGAAGTTCCTGCAGCAAATGATGGCTCTCTACGTCGCTAGCCATTACAAGAACACACCTAATGACCTTCAGCTCATGAGTGATGCACCAGCACATCAGCTGTACGTGCTTGTCCCACCAATCGACGAGGAAGCCACCAAACTGCCGGAACCTCTTTGTGTCATCCAGGTTGCGCTTGAAGGTCGCATCAGCCGCCAGAGCGTCCTTAACAGCTTGAGCCGTGGCCAAAGAGCCGGTGGTGATTTGATCCCCTGGCTTGTGAGCCAACAGTACCAAGACGAGGACTTTGCCGGTCTCTCAGGTGCCCGAATTGTCCGCATCGCAACCAACCCCGAATATATGAACATGGGATACGGATCGCGCGCTCTCGAGCTTCTCGTTGACTTCTACGAAGGCAAATTCACCAGCCTCGACGAGGATGTCACCGACCAGCCCGAAGAAATGGTCCGAGTAACCGACACTGAGCTCGAGAACTCCAACATCCTTGACGACAACGTCCACGTCCGTGACATCCAAACTATGCCACCCCTCTTCGGCAAGCTCACCGAGCGCCGCCCAGACGCTCTCGATTACATCGGGGTCAGCTACGGCCTAACCCCCTCCCTTCACAAATTCTGGAAACGCTCCTCCTTCGTTCCCGTTTACCTTCGCCAAACCGCCAACGAGCTCACCGGCGAGCACTCCTTCGTGATGCTCCGCGGCCTCAGCACTGGATCCAGCGACATCAGCTGGCTGGGCGCGTTCGCACGGGACTACCACAAGCGCTTCCTCGCCCTGCTGTCCTACCAGTTCCGTGAGTTCGCCTCCGTCCTCTCCCTCAGCATCTGTGAGTCTGCCAGTGCAGGCGAGAAGCTCGATGTCTCCATCGCCCCTCGCCCATTGACAAAGACCGAGCTCGACACAGCCTTTTCCCCCTTCGATCTCAAGCGTCTTGACAGCTACGCCAACAACCTCCTCGACTACCACGTCATCCTCGATATGGTCCCGACCATCGCAGAATATTACTTCGCTGGTCGTCTCGGCGGCAAGGTCAGCCTCTCAGGAGTCCAGCAATCCGTCCTCCTGGCCATCGGTCTGCAGCGCAAGAAACTCGAAGATCTGGAGAAGGAGCTCAACCTCCCCTCGTCGCAGCTGCTTGCCATGTTCCTAAAGATCATGCGCAAAATGTCGACCTACTTCCGTGCGCTCGTTGAAGGCGCTGTCGCAGACACCCTGCCCAAGGAGACAATCCCCCTCACGGCACCGGCCCCTGATGCACACGATGCACATGATGAAGTCGTGGATGAGCGCTTCAAGCCCTTGGAAACCGGGTTGGAAGAAGAGCTCCGTGAAGGAGGTGAAAAGATCGATAGTGAACTACGTGAGAAGCAGAGGGCGCTTATTGATTCCCTGCCGCTTGACAGGTAAGCCCGCTCCCTCTTAACCCCTTGTATCTGCACCTTGCTTCGCATGATTATCTTGAGGTAGAATGAGCAATAACTGATCCCAGTCTCCAGATACGAGATCGACAACAGTAAAACCACATGGGAAGATGCCGAGAAGCAAGTCCGCGCTGGAGGCGCATCAACCGTTAGCGTAAAGACTGTGAAGCCATCTAAACGGAAGAAGGGCGAGTCTGCGCGGGAGATCTACGATACGGAGATTGAATCGAAGAAGCAGAAGATTATCAGGAAGGGAACTGAGGGAAAAAAGAGGTCTTCTTGATTAATTGATTTGCCTGTTAAGAGAAAAAGCTTGATTACTTTGGTTTGATTTGGGCTGTACGTTGCATTCAGTCATGGCGTTTTAGGGTGTCTCTTGTATATAAGATTTTTTTTTCTAGTACTATTTGACATTCAGCATGAAAAGATTTAGATATTCCAAACGCACTGTACTCTCCGAGATCAACGAACGCTTTCACAGCTCATCATGCTCATCAACCTCATTGGCAACAACAACAACCCCCTCCGGCAACTTCTCCTTCTTTCCGTCTCCCAGCCGAATAGAATCAATCCACTTCTCAACAGACACAACATTAAAGTCCTGGCTCCCAGAGTTATCATACCTCCTCCACCAACCCCTGCGCCCATTCACCGCGATAATCTCAACATTCTCCGTACTCTCGGGTAATCCCAATCCAGCGCGCAAGGTTTTGCCGCCGGCGTTAATAGCCGGGACGCTGTAAAATGGGAAGAGGTTGCTCTGGCGCAGGGAGTGTTTGTGTGCGATGTCGGATAAACTGGACACGGCTATCTGCGCGGGACCAGGGAGGTCTGAGTCAGAGTCTTTGGGCTCGGGGAGGAGAGCTAGAACGCAGGTTCCGGACTTGGGAGCGAGACAGGTGGACTCTAGGGTTTCGATTGTGGGGAGGGTTCTGATCTCGGGTGTTTTGATGGGAACGCTGGCGGGTTTGGATTCCTTGGCGTCGTCCGGGATGGCCTTGTGGTCTGGAGATTCGGTTGGTTTGAGGTTCTCTGCTTCGTCGTCGTAGACGGTGGACGACTGGGCCTTTGCGGGTTTGGTGGACTTGGACTTTGAAGATGACTTGGCCTTGGCCTTCGCAGGGGCAGGGTCCGGGTTTGGCGCGGCAACTTGGCTGAAGAACTCGATGATAGGTTTCTTCTTCAGCTCGCCATCGTAAACAATAGGCTCCTTGTCACCACCAGGAAGCAACACAAGCGAGGGGAAGTTCTCAATATTAAACTTCTCAACCGCACTAGTCTCCTTACTGCGAACCTGTCCAACTTTTATCGACCCCAGAAAATCAATCGCAATAGCCCGAATCAAAGCACTAGTCGCCCCCTTCTCCGTAAACAGAATCGCCTTCGGCGCCTCATCCATGTCAACCCACGTCTCCAAATCCTTATCCGTAAGTCTCTTCACATGGTTCGGGATCCTATCCACAACCGCATCGACAATCGCCTTCGCGCTCCGCGCACCTTGATAGTCTTCCACGGTAGGTTTCCCGGGTTTCTTGGAGGGGGTCATGATCTTGAGGGTTGGGAAACCCTGCACGCCCATCCGGCCGCAGAGGGACTTGTTGTCGTCATCGTCGCAGTTAATGGCTGCAACTTTGGCCAAGCCGTCTAAATTTTTGGCTGCTTTTTCATAGGCTGGCTTGAGGCTTTGGCAGTGGCCGCACCAGGGGGCGTAGAATCTGTGCATGTTAGATTTGGGATATGTAGAGCTATAGGGGTGGCTTACTCTACGATCTGTTGGGTTGTTAGTGTTTGCGCAATTAAGCATTTTGCGAAGACCGCTTACCGAAGTATGATTGGAATCGGCGATTAGCTGGTTATATGTCTTGTGGTTCACCTGCAATACAGGCGACTTTTTAGTATAGACTCCATCCGCGCTGACTGGAAGAGCCGCTAGCAGCGATGCGATGAGCAGAATTGGCTTTTTCATTGTTGTTCAATTCACCAATACTGGCTAAAAGCAAGATGTTGTTATGTAGCTACAGCCAGAGGAAGAGTGTCTGTTGATAAGATGGTGTTGTGATGGTGCAAAAGGCAAAGTGTCCTGAATTTCTTGGCATGTGAGACTATATTGAGGTCTTGTATGCATCCCATGCTCTTCGATACATGCAACCAACCATCATTAGGGTAAATAGCTTTTGAAATGCATTATTATACGTATTTTTTATAATTTCAATTGTCTTGAAAAGTGTGCACATTGACAGGCTAAATTGGCGCCTTTGTTGAATCATCACTACTATAGCTTCACAATCTCCTGAAACCACCATTACATCCCACATGCCAATGGGATCATAGACATCAGTATGCTCTTTTTCTTCGGGTAATTAAACAGCGCATCGCCTAGATAACTTATTGAGAGCAATCTGGAGTCTTAGCAAGGTCGATCTCCGGCCACGGACAATGCGGAGTCGGTTTATTTGCTATACATGGAAAGAGAAGTGGCTTATGTCCGACTTCCCGAGCGGACTCGGGGCAATATTCGAGGCGTCGCTGGAATTCTTTTGCAAAATGTGGAGGACCGAATGCATTTCGTGGAGATCCGAAATAAAGTGTGGAGATCCGATACAGTTTGATAAAATGGGCTTTTCTCCAAAGTTGTTCCTGGAGAGGTAGAATTGTTCTGAAAGAGCGAGTTATTGCATATTCAATACAATGGAACTCCTATGGCCCGTTTTGGGCTTGGTTGCAGCATTCTTCGTGTCCCAGATCATCTATGATGTATTCTTTTCACCGTTGAAATCCATCCCGGGGCCTTTCCTAGCCCGCTTAACAAGGTTTTGGGAACTGTATATCCTTCGGCATGGACACTCGCATATGGAATTCGTCCGTCAACATGAAAAACACGGTATTGCACCTGTACATAAAAGTATACAGCATCCACTAACAAAGCAATCAGGATCCGTCGTCCGAGTAGCACCAAACCGCTATAGCTTCAGTCGCCCCGAAGATGTGAAGCTCATCTACTCCCCCGGCAGCAAATTCCCCAAATCCAAGTACTACGAGGCCTCCGGCAACCCCCATCAAACCAACATATTCTCCACACGGGACATGGCAGACCATTCGGATAGACGGCGGAAGGTTGCTTCATTGTATACCATGTCGACTATGGTGGCTTATGAGTCTGCTGTGGATAGGATGACTGCTGTCTGTTTGAGGAAGTTGGGGCAGATTGGGAGGGAAGAGAGGCCTTTGTCTGTGCCGCAATTTATGCAGTACTATGCTTTTGATGTTATTGGGGAGATTACAGTGAGTCTAAGAATAGGCGGATGAAACTACATGGCTAATGACTGTAGGTGGATGAAAACTTCGGGATGATGGAAAGAGAAGACGATAACACCGGCTTCATCGACACCATTCGCGATTCACTCATATACCATGCGCACTACGGACTGATCCCGGATGTCCACCGTGCACTCGTGAAGATCACAGATATAATCGGCAAACAGAGTACCGGGAGATTTCTCGAGGATCTCCTCGTGAGAAAGATAGAGGAACACAGCAGTGACGGCTTCAAGAACAAGCGTGACCCCCGCTCCGAGTCGTTCGTCGCCAAAGTCCTAGAGCAAGAAGCTGCTCAGAAACTTTCTCGCATCAACGTACTTGACTCGTGTGGTGCCAACATCGCCGCTGGTTCTGATACCACGGGGATCTCCCTCAGCGCAGCATTGTACTATCTCTACAGGAATCCGGAAAAGTTAGCCAAGCTCAGACAGGAGATCGATCAAGGACAGGCAACCGGTCAAGTGTCAGATCCGGTGACGTTCAAAGAGACTCAGAGCATGCCCTATCTTCAAGCTGTGATAAAAGAGGCTTTGAGAATGCATCCTGCTGTGGGAACTATCCTGGCTAGAACTGTTCCGGAAGGAGGGGCACATCTCGCGGGACGTTATTTTCCTGCTGGAGTAAGTGGACACCACCCATTGAGTAGGTCAATAGTACTAATGGAAATCTCAGACCCAAGTTGGTGCCAACGCATGGGTCTTGCACTATGACCCTAAAATCTACGGGCCTGATCCGTACTCTTTCCGCCCAGAGCGATGGCTCGAACATGACGATGGCTCCAAATTGCGAGAAACTATGTTCTTCCCGGTAGGTACCCAGGTACCCTCTAGCACTTCATACCACGTCCCTAGTGTGTACTTTGGCTAATGCACACAGTTCGGCGCTGGCTCTCGTACATGCATTGGCAAGAACATCAGCATACTGGAAATGAGCAAGGTGATTCCTCAGATTGTCCGGGCTATTGACTTCGAATTCAAGTGGCCAGAGCGAGAATGGGATGTTTTTTGTTCATGGTTTGTATGGCCTGAATATGAGTGTCGGGTTCATCCTCGACAAAGTGCAGGGAAACCTAAGGAAGTGGACGTCTTCACTGGTTAGCATTTCAGGGTTTGTTTGATTGGGTCATTATGTTTCTACGGGCTATGAGAGAATTATCGTTCAACAAACACAACTATTTCGTATGTATTATTTACCTCCATTCATTTCCAGTAGTCACCTCGTATCTTTTGTATCTGATGAGAGAAAAGAAGAAGCTTCATATCCTATTCAAGATAATTATCACGTGTCGTCCCCGCATCTGCCGGTCGACTTTAATACCTCGCTTAAACTATCACACCTACATAAATCTTCAATCAACTCCTACGATCAGTGACACCCTCGATCATTCTACCATAGGCTGCAGCATGACACAAGCGCTACCCCATCTCTGAACCTACCTCTGTCCTAGATCCTATCATGGTTTCCACCCCAATGGATCACACTATATCCACCTTACCCCGGGAGATATTCTGGATGATCCTGGACTGTTTAGAACCTCGAGATGTGATCCGGTGTCGCAGTATCTCTCGCTTCTGGAACGAAGCCTTCAGAGACCCTGCTAACCTGGTTCCGTTGATACGGAAATGGTTTCCGTTGGCGAAGGAAGTTCGGGAGCTAGTACATAACCAGACTCTGGATACTGAGTGTACGAACGTCTATGATGATAGTGATTACTGGTGCCAGATGTTCGACTGTATCGCTTGCAGATACGACCATCTCGCTCGGGGCAAACCCAAATCCACCCAGAAGTTCAAACTGAGCGATCACTTCGGCGCCTCTGGCGAGAGAAAGTGGTTCCCGGTGCAGCCGTGGGAAAACCATGCTAGTCACTTGATGCAAAAAGTCGATGATCTCTTTTTTGAGTCCTCGTGGACCTATGAGGATGGCCTTCTGGTGTTTTTAAGCGCAGACCATTGCTGTCTGGTGCTTGTGGATTTGGAGACGGATAGGAGCTTCATGGTCCCGTTTATTATCGGAGGGAAGGTGATACGAAGAGCTCGTCTACAGAAACGGGTTCTTGTAGTTGAGTGGGCAGAACCGAAAGCATTCCACTGGTTGAATGATTCGGACGGGGTACATCGCCATTTTGCCTCGTCGTTTGACGTGGAGGAAGACTCGACCGGTGGATGGAGAGTGATACCTCGAAACGAATGGAAGATCATGTTCCTCGGTCACCCACTTAGCGAAAGAGATCGATTCTTTTCGTCCCACAGCAAAACCCATTACGTGATATACATATGGCAGCCGAATCGCAGCTTATACACCGCAGACGACGACGCACCCATCGAATCACTCATGGTATGGAATATCTCTCAGCCATCTTCATACCGACCATCTCTAGACCCGACAGGCTGCCTACGAGTCCCCAGTCAAGACACAGGCCCGGAACAAGTCACACGCCTAGGCTTCAGAGAACTAGGCTTCTTCTCCGTACGACAGCGCGGCCTCCCAGCTATCCAACGACTAGAAGTCACAGATGATGCACTAGCAATCGAAATAACTGAGACCATTTGCACAGGGCCAATGGACAGACTCGTTGGCCCGGCAGAATGGACCTCGGAAGTGCAAATCACTAGTATCCCCTTAACCGGCGAAGGACCCTGTCTAAGACAAACAATAACAGACGTCAAGTTCCCTCCCTATCGGGGAAGTAACGGCTTACAAATGAAGCCACTTGAGTTTGCCGCTTGTGATGGGCCTTGGTATACAATTGTTTCGGAGGCGATTGATGAACAAGCTCAAGTGGGGTTCTGCCTTCATTTGAGTCCGTTTGCGTGGCCTTTTGTTTTGAGTGAGTTTTTAAGCGTGAGGACTCCGTCTTCAAGCGTTACTGTGAAGCCTGAAGATATATATGAGATTACGGGTAGGGGCAGTGTTTGTGGGAATGAGAGGTATCTGATCGGGGAGAATAGGAATCGTGAGCTTGTTGTGTTTAGATTTGATAAATAGAACATACCCTAGTATTTAGACTTGATGAAGAAATTGAAATTTTAGGTAACTGAATACTGACCTATTGTGGACTATCCTGCATAATACTATTTAACCTGGACTTGAAATATCAAGAAAGGAAGCCGAATCCTGGAATCCAGACGGCAAATGAAGCCACCATACAGAGCTCAAGGCATATCGATATCTGAAAGACGACATTTCTCCCCAGTATTCCCAGTAACTTCAACGTAAAACAAAGATAAACCCAAATAAGTTCCCTAACCTTGAAACTTACACCCCACGCACGCCTTGATTCCACAGCCAGGACAACTAAGCGTGAAAATCGGCTTCCAACGGTGACACATCTCACACTCGGGACGCTCGAACTCTTTCTTCCAATATCCGAGATGCAGACAAGAGCGAGTGGCATCCGAAGTAAAAAGAGATGGCTGAGGCTGAGGCTTCGCAGCGGAAAAGGTAGCACACTGACCCTCGAGCCAGCCGCAGTAGGCTTCCATGACTATGCCGCAGAGCTCGATTTGAAGGTCATTTTCGGTGTATTTTCCGCTGGGGTCGTTGAGCTTTGTCATGAAGTGCGGAATGAAGGGGGCTAGGAGGCTGGATTTGTTGGCGTAGTTGTTGACGGGGTTGCCTTCGTGTTCAATTTCCTCGTCACTTGTTTCGGATTCTTCCTCGGAAGAGTCGGTATCAGTGGTTTCGGGGTTGTTGGTACGAGAAGATTTTTCTTCGGCGCAGTCGAAGAACATGGTGATGTCGTCTTCGTCGATGGTGGATTTGTGGCAGGAGAAGCCGTCATCGTCTTCGTCGGAGTGCAGATACTCGCTCTCTTGCGCGGTGCCATACTCGGACGATACTTCTCCTGAGAAATTCGAAGAATGATTGTCTTCTTCGTTTCCATGATCGTCGGGGACCTGTTCATCCGCAGACGGCGCAGAGTTGTATTCAGCCTGTTGCATATTCTCATCCTGTCCAAGCTCCTCTCCATGTGCAACTTCATGTTCTTCATATTCACCTTCCCGTTCCTTTTCATGCTTCTCTCCAAGCTCCTCCTTATGTTCAACCTGCTGTTCCTCTTTTTCCATAGCCTTCTCTGCCCGCTCCTCCTCACTCTTTTTCTTAACCAATCCCTCACCACCATCAGACTCCTCCTCACGCCCAAGCCTTGCCCTATAAGCCTCCTGGCGCCTCCTCTCTTTCTCCGGACGCCGCTCTTCAGCCTCCCTCTCCTGCTCAAACTGCCGCAGCACATCCTCAGCAGAAACCCTCCCCCGCTCTCTCAACATCTCATCAATCCTCTTCTCCCTCTCAATCCTATCCCTCTCCTCCCCCGACTCTCTAGAGTACGGATCCATATGCACGCTGTTTGCATAGCTATACATGTAGCGAAAGTCCGCTTTAGTTTGCGTCCCGAAGGTGCGCGGCATCCATTTTGTGTAGAAGCCTCTGCCGTTACGGTCTGCGTTGTTGGGGCCGTCTGCGTAGGCTTGCCTGATCCGTTGAGCGCGGAGGTCGTGGTCGTGCTTTTTGCGGCGGTAGGGGTCGCGGAGGGTTTCGGCGGCTTCTTGGATCTGGTTGGTTTTTCATCAGCACAGGGTCAACTTGGTTGGTCATTTTGCAGGGTCGGGAGGTGAGTGGAAGGAGGGGGAGGTTGTACCTGTTGGAACTTGTCGACGTCGCCATCTACTGCTTTGTCTGGGTGGTGCTTCAAGGCGAGTCGTTTGTAAGCGTGGTTGATATCCTTGAGGCTTGCATGGAAAGGGACCTCCAGGATGTTGTAGTGGTTAGTTATTTCGATTGAAGGCATCGTGGAGAGGACAGGGAGTCAAGGCTCTCTTGGTTGCTGGAGCAGGAGGAGGTTGGGAGGTGAGGGTAGAAGGTAGTTTCGCGCTGTGGATAGTAGTCTGTCTTTTCCAATAGCAACTGCTTGACGAGCCGAACAGAGCTGTCACACGGTTAGATGGTGCCCCGATAATTCGTTGTCAAAGCAGAGGCTTGGAGGAAATAGATTGATAGAAATGAATTAGCAAAGAGAACTAACGAGGATTGTCCAAGGGAGAGATGACAAGAAAAAAAAAACATGTCGGGGAAATAAAGAGGGGAGTTAAATGGACAGTGAATGCCCTGAAAAACTGCCTGACCTGTGAGTTTCAATGGCATTCAATAGCGTATATACATGGGTATTCATTGAATTTCTGTCTTTTTACATCGAAACTGGATATATTGGAACATAGGGCTGGACCAGCATAGAGCCAGCTCCACCAGAATACCCACAAAATCCACATCAAGGAGAACAAAAGAAATTGTAAATTCGTTTGATTTTACATGGTGGAACAAGTCTAGGTATTCACGGATAAGTCTACACACATGGCGACTTTTCTCCACAGAAGCATCATGACAGCTTCTACATGTCAGCACTGGCGGTGGCACCGGTAATAATTTCAACCAGTTCACCGGTAATGGCGGCTTGACGCTGACGGTTGTACAAGATCTGGAACCTGCAAAGGGTTAGCAACCCGCAGAAGTTGAACCATAAGACTCCAAAACTTACTTGTTGATCATCTCACCAGCGTTCTTCGAGGCGTTCTGTACAAGAGAAAGTAGGTTAGTTCGGTTCATCTGTCAATGCACTTCCATGCTACCGAGATACTTGCCTCCATTGCGTTGCGACGAGCCTATAGAGTAGTTAGTAAGAATGTTTCCTCTTCACTTCAACTGATGCTGAATGCTTACCGAGATTTCACAGGCGTGGCCTTCAGCCATAGCCCAGAACAGGTTGTTGGCAAGGGAGTATTCACGGAGGTTGGTCAAGACCTCGTCGTTAACCTCAAAAGCAGAGATGTTGGCTGCACAATTGATCGTTAACTACTGAATCACAATAACCGTGATAGCTGAAAATAGAAACTCACGGGACTGAGTGATCGCCTCCTCAGAGAAGGCATCAATGGTCTGAGGCTCATAGCTCTGAGCGTTGACGAAGGTGTTGAACAGGACCTTGACGCTAGCGTACTCGCCAGGCAGCAGGGAGATCTGGTCGGCGATGGCCTGAGCATCAGCGAAGGTGGGGATGTCCTTGCAGACGTTGCTGAAGCTCAGGACGATGTCCTCGGAGTTGGTACGGGCCAGCTGAGCCTTGGCCTTCTCTCCGAGCACAACGATCTCGGCGTTAGGGTTCGCCTGGAGGACACGGCGGGTAGCCTTGGCCAGACCGGAGTGGATACCACCACAGAGACCCTTGTCGGAGCTGGCGACGACGATCAAAGTCTTCTTGTCCTCGAGAGGCTTGGTTTCGGCGTTCTCGAAGACAGTGTTGGAGGTTTTACCGTAGACACGCGATTCGTCCATGGCCTTCTGGGCACGGGTAAGACGGGTTGAAGCAACGATCTTCATGGTGTTGGTGATCTTCTCGATGTTCTTAATCGACTTGAGACGGCCCTCAATTTCACGCAGAGTCGCGAAGTTGGCGGCGTTGGCGGGCGCAGTGCTTTAGATAATTAGCCATAATATTCTTAAGTATTCCTATCCAGTGCGATAGCCCAGTTGTTCCTGCCCATATAAATTCGATTCCTAACAGAGGGATTAGGGTGGTATGTGCGAATGACATGGGGGGGGGTAATTGGTGGTGATGGTGGGTGGTGGTGGACAAGCGGAAGAAAGGTTCGACGACCTACCGGGAGAGAACGGCACTGCCGGCCTTGACGGCCGGGCGAACAGCGGCGCGGGAGAACATTGTCAATGGTAAGAAGAGTCGGACTGGGGAAAAAGTCCAAGAGAAAGAAGGTCAGCAAGACGTGGTGACAGGAAGGCCGCAAAGGTCAATCGAGTGGGCAGGAAACGGAAGAAGTCGTTCAACTCCTGTTTCTGTTCATCCGACTGCCGGCACATTGCCGCACTAAACTTATTCTGGTAGGTTATGAGGGTATGACGGAACAGACCAGTTACGCAGCTATACTTGCCTTGTATTACAGGCATTAAGGCATTCATCCAGGTATCAACTTCAACTCGGGCCGGAGAAACTCCAGAGTCGCAAAAGTCGCCTCAGGCCCCCCAAAAAGACCGGCCTCGTTTTCCATTCCATTCCTTCTTCTCTCTCCTCACCCCCAACCTTTCTTCTTCCTCTTCTCTCCCTCTGTGTGTACTCTCTGCTTATTCTCTCTCAATTCTCGCCACTGCTGGCTTCTTGTTCCACCCTTTTACCCTACTTATACGTCTTCTTCTCTTTGACGCCGTCTTCTAGTTTTTGCCTCTTCATTGGCCAATATCTCCTTGACCTCATCGTTCTTTCAAGCGCCAACTCGGGTGCTCGGACTTGGCAGGCGACTATTACAGTCGAGTCTATCTGCTACTCCACCTCGATTCTCTCTACATTCCTACGACCGAGCGCGACACTTCCCTGCTTTCCGGCCTGCAATCATGAGTGCCTCGGAAGATGACACTCCGTTAATGAAGACGAATGGCAAACCCGGTAAGTTGTCTTGATTCCCGCTTACGCGTTAGTCGCCCGGTTCGCGACGTTGCGCATTACTTTCAGCCTTGTTCCGCCTCTATACCTACCGAATTCCGTGACATTCCCCATTTATCACCACATTGCGCCTGGACGATTGTTGACGATTTTGCTTGGTGGATTCTAGGTCTTGTTCCCGAAAAGGGTCCCGATGACGTGAAGATGGAAGATGCGACTGAGACGAATGGTCATGTTGACCCTGGCATCTCAATTCGATTTGGTCCGGTCAAGAGCGAGGACACTGAAATGGATGATGCCGGATCCGACGCTCTGGCCGGCAAAAGGAAGAGCCGGGCAAGTGTTGATCAGAAGTCATACGCGGAACCGGAAAGTAGTGAAGAGGAGGATCAACCACTGGTACGACGCGCCCTTTCCCTTGCGGATGCCTTCCCCTCGTTCCCCCATAGTATGCGACACTCTTGCTGTCGCTTTCGGTTACAACGGCTGACCGTTCGATAGAGCAAGCGCCGCCGCACCTCTGTGAAGCACGAGGATCCGGAGACGGACGATGACGTTCCTCTAGCAGCCAATGGCAGGAAGCTTCCCAAGGCCTCAGAGACGGCCATAGGCGAAGAATCCGATTCCGATGTCCCTATCAACAAAAAACTTACTTCTGAAAAGAAGAAGATCCAACAGAAAGGGGAAAAGGCGGCTGAGACCGGTCGCAAGCAGGGTCTCGCGAAAACTACCGCCAAATCCGCTGCTGGCACAACGAACGGCCGCAAGAAACAAGCCAACGGCATCAAGAAGGAATCGGATGATGAAAAGACACCCGCTAAGAAACCAGCCGCCAAGAAGGTGAAGGCGGAGCCCAAGCCTCCGGCCAAGAAAGGAAAGGCCACCCCGGTCAAGGAAGAAAGTGCCGAAGCCGACGAGGGCGAGGAAGAAGAGTATAAATGGTGGGAAGATCCTACCAAGGGTGATGGCACGGTCAAATGGAACACCCTTGAGCACAACGGTGTTGTTTTCCCTCCAGATTACGAGCCGTTGCCTCAGAACGTCAAATTGAAGTATGACGGAGTTCCCGTCACTCTTGCACCCGAAGCGGAGGAGGTGGCCGGATTCTATGGCACCATGCTGAACTCTACTCAACACGTGGAGAACCCGACGTTCCGCAAGAACTTCTTTATGGACTTCAAGGATATTCTCAAGAAGACTGGTGGTGCAAAAGACCCCAAGGGCAACAAGGTTGATATCAGAGATTTCTCCAAATGTGATTTCCAGCCCATCTTCGCATACTATGAAGGGCAGCGCAACGAGAAGAGAAATCTTCCCCCAGCAGAGAAGAAACGACTCAAAGCCGAGAAGGATGTTGAAGAAGCCCCATACCAGTACTGCGTATGGGACGGCCGCAAGCAGAAAGTGGGCAACTTCCGGGTTGAACCACCAAGTCTTTTCCGTGGTCGTGGTGAGCACCCCAAGACTGGACGCGTGAAGACCAGAGTTCAACCGGAACAGATTACGATCAACATCGGCAAGCACGCTCCGGTTCCAGTGCCACCTGAGGGTCATCGCTGGAAGGAGGTGAAGCATGATCAAGAGGGAACATGGCTCGCAATGTGGCAGGAAAACATTAACGGCAACTACAAATACGTTATGCTTGCAGCCAATTCCGATGTCAAGGGCCAAAGCGATTTCCGGAAATTCGAGAAGGCCCGCGAGCTCAAGCACTATATTGATAAAATCCGCAAAGATTACCAGAAGAACCTCAAGAACGAATTGATGGTTGAGCGCCAGAAGGCTACAGCAGTCTATCTTATTGACCAGTTTGCGCTTCGTGCTGGTAATGAGAAGGGTGAAGACGAGGCTGAGACAGTTGGTTGCTGCTCTTTGAAATATGAGAACGTCGCCCTCAAACCGCCAAACAAGGTCATCTTCGACTTCTTGGGTAAGGACAGTATCCGATTCTATGATGAAGTCGAGGTCGACAATCAGGTCTTCAAGAACCTGAAGATCTTCAAAAAGGCGCCGAAGAAGAATGGCGACGAGATCTTCGATAGACTAACGGTGTGTTTGCGTCTAACAATTCATAATGTCCGTCACTAACTTCTTGATAGACGTCCGCTCTCAACAAGCATCTTTCGAACTACATGCCTGGCTTGACTGCCAAGGTGTTCCGTACTTACAACGCATCCCACACCATGGCGACTCTACTTAAGGACATGAAGGCCGAGGGTACTGTTGTTGAAAAAGTCAAAGCGTACAACGATGCAAACCGTAAGGTTGCCATTCTGTGTAACCACAAACGGACGGTTGCTGCGTCGCACGCCGGGCAGATGGAAAAGATGAGTGAAAGAGTAGGTTTTCCTCCTGGTTTCATTCATTTCCATGTGCTAACAGGTGTTTTTCTTTGTAGATCAAGGGCATGCGCTACCAGAAATGGCGACTCAAGCAAATGATGCTTGACTTGGATCCGAATCTCAAGAAGAAGAAGGGGGCAGCCTTCTTCGAGATTGACCAAGATATCGACCAGGAATGGATCAAAGAGCATCAGGCCTTCTTAGTTGAAGAACAACGGCAAAAGATCCAAAAGAAGTTCGAAAAGGACAACGAGAAGCTTGCTGCCGATGGTGAAAAGGAAATGAAGGCTAGTGAGCTCGAGGAGCGACTCAAGGCCGCCAAGGAAATGGAAAAGAAATTCGCCAAGGAGAACAAGACTGGCAAGGTCGAGGCGGAAGGCAAGAGTCCTACTGTCGACAAGCTCGAGACTTCCATCACCAAGATCGACCAGCGTGTTGAGACGATGTCCGTTCAAGCCCAGGACAAAGAAGATAACAAGGAGGTTGCGCTTGGAACTTCCAAGATCGTAAGTCCTCCTACTTTATTGACCCAAAAGGATGTTATCTAACATTAGCAGAACTACATTGACCCTCGTCTCACTGCCGTTTTCACCAAGAAATTTAACGTCCCCATCGAGAAGTTCTTCTCTAAGTCACTCCGCGAGAAATTCGAATGGGCCATCAAGTCTGTCGACGGCGACTGGGAGTTCTAAACGCCTCATTCTTCTAGACAGAAATTGGTCTCCTTATTGACGCTCCAACATGTACACCATATATATATATTTTTTTTTTTTTTTTTTCGCTTTTCTTTTGCTTTTCCCCTTTCCGCTCGCTCGCCTGTGATGGTGAGTGGGACAGATGGATGAATGACCCATATATAGCATAGCATATTTTCATTTTATCGATTTTATTCTTGGTTAGAATTGATGGTTGGTGGTTTTTTTTTTTTTTATTTTTATTTTTTTTCGCTTTGTATGTATTGTTTTGCTTCTTGAGGGATTTATTGGATTAAGATCCATTGACAGACAAGATAAAAAAGATATAAAAAAAGTCAAGACCAGTAAAAATTAAGATATTTTAACACTTTGAAGAGTCTACAACATCATGTCCTCAACACATTCCATAGACATGCATACTTGCAAAAGAATCTTCGAACAAAAAGCAAGTTTATATTCAAGTCTAAAAAGCCGAAAGCTATGAGCAAGCATGCAAATCATGGCTGAAATAATATAAGACACCGAAATAAAAAAAAAAAAAAACAGAAACAAATAACACAACACAGGGATATAATAAGACATGTCAATGTCAATGCTAAGACAAACCCCGAGAAGTAAAGCCGGAAATTTAATTACGTGTATTAGATGCTTGTCGAGATGACTCAATCGAACTGGTATAAGCACAAAATTTCGGCGGACTCTCGAGGACGAATGAGATGAATTAGACGAGATGAAGAAATGCAGAAGGATATACCCCACCACCCTGCTCATGCTGGACAAAAAGGAATATTCATCGCGAAGGGAAGAAAAGGAATGCATATCGGTCGACTCCGGTGGGGTATATGTCGTGATCATGTGAAACTGGAGAATGAAGAATGACGGTATTTCGTGAAGCTGTCGTGACCAGAGTACCTCTT